GGGATGACATCAAGAACATTATACATGAAGAAAGCAAAAAGTGATTAAGAAGACAAGAAAGAAAGAAAAGGTCAAAATGGATGTCAGAAGAGACACTGAAACTTGGTCTCCAGCAGAGAGCTGCTAAAGCAAATGGAAGAAATGAGGAGGTCCAAGAGCTGAACAGAAAATTTCAAAGATCATCTTGAGAAGATAAAGCCAAATATTACAAGAAAATGTGCAAAGATCTGGAATCAGAAAACCAAAAAGGAAGTACACACTCAGCATTTCTCAAGCTGGGAGAACTGAAGAAATAAATTCAAGCCTCAACTTTCGTTATTGAAAGATTCTCTGGGCAATTTATTGAATGATGCAGAAAGCATAAAGAGAAGATGGAAGGAATACATATAGTCACCGTACCAAAAGGAAATGGTTATTGTTCAACCATTTCAAGAGGCAGCATATGATCAAGAGCCAATGAAAGTCCAAGGTGCATTGAAGGAATTGGCGAAGAACAAGGCACCAGGGATTGATGGAATAAAAATTGAAAACTTTCAAGAAAGTGAGGCAGTACTGTAGGTACACTCAGTCATCTCTGCCAAGAAATTTGGAAGACAACTGTCTGGCCGACTGATTGGAAGAGATCCGTATTTGCGTCCATTCCAAAGAGAGGTGACTCAACAGAACGTGGAAATCATCAGACAATCTCTTAGATAGCCTATGCAAGTAAAGTTTTACTAAAGGTAATACAGAAATGGCTGCAAGCATACATTGACAGAGAATTTCCAGAGGTTCAGGCCAGATTCAGAAGAGGCTGTGGAACAAGGGATATCATTGCTGATGTCTGATGGATCTTGGCTGAAAGCAGAGAATATTAGAAAAATATTTACCTGTGCTTTATTGACTACACAAAGGCTTTCGATTGTGTGGATCATGACAAACTATGGATAGATGACATTGAAAAGTATGAGTATTCCAGAACACTTAATTGTGCTCATAAGGAATCTGTACCTGGACCAAGAGGCAGTTGTTTGAACAGAACATGGGAATACTGAACGGTTTAAAATTAAGAAAGGTGTGCGACAAGGTTGTGTTCTTTCACCATACTTATTCAACCTGTAGGCTGAGCAAATAATCCAAGGAGCTGGGTTATGTGATGAAAAACATGGCATCAGTATTGGAGGAAGACTCATTAACAACCTGTGATAATGTAGATGATACAACCTTACTTGCTGAAAGTGAAGAGGACTTACAACATTTACTGATGAAGATCAGAGAGCACAGCCTTCAGTATGGATTACATCTCAATGTAAAGAAAACAAAAATCCTCACCACTGGACCAATAAACAACATTCTTATCAACAGGAAAAGATTGAAGTTGTCAAGGACTTCATTCTTCTTGGATCAACTATCAACACTCATGGAAACAGCTGTCAAGACATCAAACGACATATTGCATTAGGCAAATCAGTTGCACAAGAACTTTTTAAAGTGTTGAAGAGAAAAGATTTCAGCTTGAGGACTAAGGTGCGCCTGACCCAAGCCATGGTATTTTCAATAATCTCATATGCATGTGAAAACTGGACAGTGAATAAGGAAGACCATAGAAGAATTGATGCTTTTGAGTTATGGTGTTGGAGGAGAATATTGAAAGTGCCATGGGCTGCCAAAAGAACCAATAGATCTGTTTTGGAAGAAGTGCAGCCAGAGTGCTCCTTGGAGGTCAAAATGGCCAAACTTCGTCTCTCATGCTTCGGACATGTTGTCAAGAGGGACCAGTCATTGGAGAAGGATATCATGTTTAGTAAGGTGGAGGGTCAGAGAAGAAGAGGAAGACGTCCAATGCGATGGATTGGCCAAGTGGCAGCATCGATAGACTCAAGCGTGGCAACAGTAGTGAGGTTGGCCCAGGATCAGGCAGTGTTTCATTCTGATGTACATAAGGTCGCTATGAGTCAGTGCCAACTCGATGGCACCTAACAACAACAAATATTAGAAACTGATTGGATTACATCAAGGTATACACTTTCTTTTAGTACAGCATCAGCATACCCTACAATAATTATCTGTTTTCTTATAATTATTTAAGGTTCAGATACTTTTACTGAAAATGAATGAATAATAATAGCAAATGGGAGAAGGGTGATGTTTGTCCAGACGGTACCATCTGACTCTTGGTCAGGTGTGTTCTTCTGAGACTAAAGATAACTTCTTACTAGGCCCAGCATCACAAGCCCTGCAGTGTGGCTCCATCCCTAATGTTTTGTATTTGCTTGTACATTCACATAGCCCATGTACTCTGCCTTTCAGCCTCCCTGCATATATGTATGTGTACTCTGCTGGTTTTAGCACTAGCTGATGATGGTGCTGGTATCTCTTATCTTGGGAGCAGTGTGTGGTGGACATAGTCACATTTGTTTGATGTTTATTGGTGTTGTTTCCCAAGCCTGTGACTTTCTGTGATTCTGTCATTCAGAACTCTGGCTGGGTGTCTAATCCACTGTAGAGCAGTCATCATTCTTGCAGACAGGGTGCCAGCTTTGCACCAGGGTGTCATTATGTTTGTCTCCTGACCATCCTGCTTGTGCCTGTTCTCTCATCTATAATGTTCTTATATGGATGTAACTCCATATCCTGCTTTTCCCAGATTGCAACACTTTTGTCCTATTGTCTCAATAAAAGAGCAATTGTAGTTGTCTAACCATGAGCTCTGACTTTGATTTGAAAAATCAGGTTATCTTAGGTATGGGGCTATAAGAGAGACAGAGAGGAGGGAAGGAGAGAGATACAGAGAGCACACATTTCATTCACCAAACAAGTCCTCAACATGTATGGAACATCTGTTAGGGCCTCTGAGGTTACACAGGAATACCAGAGGGCTTCAAAAAGTATGTGTAAAATGGAATGAAAAGATAATGGACTTTGACTACAATTTTTTTGAAGCCCCCTGTACAGCACAGATTCTCTCCAGGGGGTTCCCTGTTTAAGGCCAGGAATCACAGATGAGTAAACAAATAACACCCAGGACCATATTATAACACACAGGATGAAAGTAATACCCCGAGGGAGTCATAGTAGGCTTTCTGGGCACAGTGTTATAGAAATGAGTCTGGAACAACTTTTAGGAGAAAATGGGAAATGGATACAGCATGTACAAAATGGATAGGCAAGAAACAGTATAAGGCGTTTGAGAAATTGCAAGAGGAGAGGCAGCTTGGCAGAACATAGTTTTGATATTTTACCCGATGGCAAATCCAAGTTTTACACTTGTGTAAAACTTGGATTTGTCCTTGGGTAAGTCACCTCACCTGTGTCTATTTGCTCATCCCAAAGCAGAAAATGTAATAGGATAGAAGCTTGAATGACATAAAGATGCTAGTCCAGTGTGTGCTCATAAGAGATTCTCAGTAAATGACAGCTCTCTAGTGTCCAGGCCCTATACCAGAGGGTGGAGTATGTTGGTTGGGGAATTATGGTTGGAGATGATGTAGGAAGAGTGAACACTGCCAAGTCACAAAGGGGGCAGCCCAGTCTCGTTTGGGAAATGTAGTGAAATTATGGATTTTCCTTCCAGAAGGATGCACCTTTACAACATACAAAAAACTTGTACAATTTAAGGGAGTTTTCAAATCCTTAAAGTCCACCAGTTGATCACCTTCTATAGATAATGGAAGCCATGAATGGTTTTAGGCAGAAGTATGGCATAAATTAGCTTTCTCTTTTTAAAGATCACTCCATGCAAATGCTGAGTTAGAGGTAGGAGAGATTCTAGGGACAAGCTAGAATGGAAGTACATGTAAGAAATAAGGCATGGTGGTAGGAGTGGAAGAGAGGGAATCAATTTTTGAGCTGTTTAGGAGTAAAATTAAATGAGATCTTATGGCTGATTGGAGATTAATATTAACCTCCAGGTTTCTGGTTAGCTGGTGCAATAAACCAGGTTAGAGAATGTAGGGACAGGAGCTATATGTGGAGATAAGCATGGGGTTGGGAGTGTGAGAATGTGATGCTTCCCATTGAGACAAGTTGAATCTGGGCTTGAGGTGGATCACCAGGTTATTGTGAGTGCCATTGAGTTGGTTTCAACTCACAGTGACCCTGTATAGGGTTTCTGAGGAGCAGCTGGTGGGCTTGAAGCATTGACCTTGTGGTTTACAGTCCAGTGTTTATCCTAGCATGCCACACCAGGAGTTTAGGTCACCAGGTAATAACGTCCTATTAATAATTGGCTGTCTGGGTCTGGAGCTGGGGAAGAAACCTGGATCAGTTTGGATAGAGTTTGGGACTCTGGAGGACAGATGGCAGTGGTAGATGCATATGTGGATGAAGCAATGTGGAGAGAGAGAGAAAGGTAGGAAGACTATGTTGAGTGAGAAAACAGAGCAGGACCCTGAGGAACTCCTTCATTTGGAGAACTGGTATGTAAGGAGGAAGTGCAGACCTGAAATAAAAATGAAGGTGGGTGGTCAGAGGAAGAGAGGAGGTCCAGGAGACAGTGATTTCAGGGAAGCCAGGGAAGGAGGTCATTAAGAAAAATTAAGTTAACAGTGTCAGTTGCAGTGACACGTGAAAGAGAAAGGGCACTGACTGCAAGATGACTCACAACCTCAGGAAATAGGAGTAATGGGTTATGGGGCACAGTGCACACATAACAAATGTTGTATCAATGGGATGGTTAGTATTAAAATCTAGCTGTAACGAAGTTGAGAAATTAGGGGTTGAGGACTTATTGAGAAATTCGGATTTAGTAAGAACACAAGTTTCCCTATGTAAGAAATGAAGAGTTAGGGAGTGACTTTTGAATAATACCCCCACATACTCACTTTGTAGTTTGTTTGTTTTCAGAAGAGAGCTCTTCAAATCCATTCTGCAGAAAGCGGAACACCATCTGAACAGGAGAATTGGCATCCCGGTACTCCCTCATCCTCTGGAAACGATATCCAGGTAGCTGCCCCTGCCAACCTCCACAGAGAACAGATGGAAGGTGACTATGCTGAGCCACACGACTACTTTAATGTCCTTAGTTATCGAAGCCTGGGGAGCTTCAACTTTCTGGCCCAGACTGGTTAATTCCCAGGGACATGTTTAGAAGACACATTCCTTGTTTTTGCTATGATGGGCTGAACTTCTGTACTCTCCAACACTGTTGTGTGTGTGTGTGTTGAAGGTTGAATAGGTTTCTCTGAAGTGTGTGTGTGTGTGTTCAGTGGAGTAAATAAACATCATTCTCTTCTTCCTCTCAACTTTCTCCATCCTCTCGTTCATTTCATTGTGTCAGGCCCTAGGTGAATAGCATGAATCTTGCTTATGAATGCAAAGTTTAAAAACGACAGCAAAAACAAGTAGAATTTAACCTGAATTTGAACCTGGCAGTTTAAGTAGATCCTGTGGTTCTAAGAAAATCATTCTTCTTAATAGTATGTACAGGGCTTTGGGTTTTGTGATTGATGATGAAGATGGTGGTGTGACTACAGAGCCATACTTTTCTGATTTCTTATTGTCATGCTCATCAGTATAAACTTATCCAAGGCATTTTATGAATAAGGAATCCTACCAGACTCTGTAGCGAGTTTCATGGTTTCATGGTCTCTGCCATTTGAGAATGCATAACTCAGTGAGGAGGCAACATCATTTATATTAACAAGGAAATATGGATGCATGACACAGATTTTTGGGAAAAGGTGTTATTTGGGGTGAGGTGGTCAGGATAGAATTATCTTTGTGAGGTGACCTGGGAGGACAAGGTGAGATAAAGGGAAGAGTGAGGCTGTCTGGCCTGAGCAGGGGCTTTGTCTAGGAAAGTTGTAGGAACTAAAATAAATGGAAGCTGAAGGCACCACACCAAAGAAAGATCCTGGCAGCAAGTGAGCCAACGGGTCTTCAGATATTGTTCTCTGGGCAGGCAATTTCCAGTCTCCTTGTGATGAGTCCATTCATGATGACTTGAGATAGAGAATTTTAGGATTTTTCAGCTGTGTGCTGGAGGGAATCCCACAGAAGATAGCATATGTCCATGGGAGGAAGCTTCATCTTATTACTGGGTTATAATTCATCTTTTCTCACTGAGTATTTGAACAAAAAAATCTGTTTTTCCATCAAAAAGAAAATATACATTTTTAAAGTAGGTATTCTTCTTAGAAAAAAGGAGTGCTAGAGGATTTTAAAAGTGAATACCCTTAAACTAGTCACTTTGAACCATTTTTTTCACTCCCTGAACTCTCTGTGCTAGAATGAGGGCAACGTCGCTGCTTATTTGTGTTTAGCTGGTATTCAGGCTAAATCTCACAGGACTCTGCCCATCCGATACCTTTCAGAGAGAAGAGAGAAGAGAGACTGGATTTACAGGTGACCAGTTTTCTTTAATGAGCACAGAAACTTGGAGAAAACGTGAAGACAGACTAGCTTTTGCCATAGTTAAAATAGTGTTCAGCTTCCTAAGAATTAGGCTGGGTTGAACAAGAAGATAATTCTACTTCAACTCCTTGTATCACCCCACTTTCCTGTGAATGGAGTCCTGGTGTGGTGCTGCGGGTTAATGTCAGAGACTGCAAGGTCCGTTAAAGTCACAAAGTTGGCACTTCAAGGTCACTAGCCACTTCTCGGTCACTAGACTTGATGGCACTTAGCAACAGCAACAAAAACAATGAATGAGGTATCTGGAAGAAAGATTGTTGTTGTTAAGTGCTGAGTTGGTTCCAACTCATAGCGACCCCTTTATAGGGTTTCCGAGGAGCGGCTGGTGAGCTTGAACCACAGACCTTGCAGTTCAGTCCAATGTTGCTGTCCAGCGCATTAGCCTGCAGCGCCACACCAGGATCCCATATATGCTTATAAAGTCCTTGAAATGTGGCTGGTCGGAAGAGAGATATACTGTATTGCCCTGCAAGTATAAACTATATACCAGATTTTGAAGACTTAATTTGAAAAATAAGAATGTAAATAAAGTGTGGTTCTGTAGGATAAGCTCTGGACCATTTACTTCAATGTTGGCAGTTCAAAACTACCAGCTGTTCCTTGGAAACCCTATACAGGTTCTCTATGAGTCAGAACTGACTCAAGAGCACTTATCACCAACTTCAATTAGTAATTTGGTAACATGATATTCTAATATTGGGTTAAATAAAATATGTTACTAAAATTAGTTGTACCTGTTTCTTTTGACTTTCTTAGTATGATTATTGGAAAATCTGAAATTGCGTATGTGGCTTAATATTATAATTTGATTGGATTGTGCTGCTCTAGACTCTAAAGTCAAGACCAAGCTGGTACTTGGGGAGGAGATGAGTCATGTCACCTCTAGCTATTTTCTATTTCTCATGCAAAATAAATTATGTAGAAATTTTTTCCTCTATGTTTTTGAGACATGTATAGGGAAGGATCACAGAAGAGACTGAGCTGGGGATCACTACGTACAGACCCGAAGAGATCCTTTCTAAGCTTTCTTGGGTCCCTTTTTGGAGTGTGGGCTATAGAGTTCGATGCACAATGCGAACAATTATACTGAACAAATGAGAACAATCTTGAGTTATGGCCTTTGAGAAACATGGTTTGTATGAGTGAAGAAGACCTTCCCATGTGACTTTCTTTCATGTCTTTCCCTCTCTCCACCCTGGACCCAGAAATGAATCATCATACACTCAAGTTCACACAGATTTCATCAGAGCAAAACTAGATAGATTGGGTGGCAGTAGATACCGCACGTGGATGATAGGGTCCTGCTGTGGGTACTGTACCACACAGAGGGGACGGAATTAACAGCACGACTGTGACTGCCAACTGGGGAGTGTGGGTTTTGTTCAGTTTTCTGACTTTTCCCAGTCCTGCTTCATGACTGTAACGAGCAATCTCCCATTCCCATTCCAAAACACACCTGGGAAGGCTCAGGAGGTCCAGGGGATCCTGTGGCAAGAGTCTGAGCTTTCTGGAAGTCAAATTATACACTTGGATGTTTAAGATGTGTTTGCCTAAAGTAATCTAGCACAGTGCTGTCCAATAGAACTTTCTGAGATGATGGAAATGGTCTAAGTCTGTGCTGTCCCCAGTGGTAGCTGTTAGCTTTATCTAGCTCTGCAGCACTTGAAATGTGGCTACTGTGACTAAAACATGAAATTTTAATTCAATTTTAAATTTCCATGCAAATTGTGACATGTGATTGGTAGCTCATATGTTGGACATGGAATTTATAGTAATTTCCTTGGATATGTAGAGAACAGAGGGAGGTATGCTTATAGCATATTCAATGATTCTATAGATGTTATAGATTCCTGGTGTGGGGCTGTAGGATAAGTACTGGACTGTTAACCACAAAGTCAGCAGTTCAATCCCACCAGACACTCCTTGGAAACCCTGTACAGGGTTTCTATGAGGCAAAACTGATTCAACAGCTCTCAACAACAACATAGATATTATGGGTCCTTGTGTGATGCTGTAGGATTAGCACTGAACTACTAAGTGCACTCATTGCAAGGTCAGAAGTTCAAGCCATCTAGAGGGTAGCTATGAGTTGGAATTGACTCGACAGCACACAACAACATAGATGAAATGAATTTGAAAAAGCAACCACTAAGAAGAAATATGAAGGCTTTTTTTTCTTGACAAAGCATAAGCTCAAAAGCAGGCCACACATTTATTTCAGAGTTTTCTTCTAAACATGTCCAGGTTGTTGTTGTTGTCAAGTGCCGTCGAGTTGATTCCAACCCATAGCGACCATGTATAGGGTTTCCAAGGAGCAGCTGGTGAGCTTAAACCACCGACCTTGCAGTTCTAACAGCTTTGCAGTCTGGCGCATTAACCCACAGCGCCGCACCAGACTCCCTGTCCAGGTTGTTAGGGAGGTTGAAATTCATAGATGTTCTGCAGAAATAGTCTTCCATCACAAGACTTATCCTGGACTGCAGTCATTTTGACACCTCTCTGGGGACTGACACTCTGGTAGATTTCACAGAGATCAGAAGAGACGTAGGAGGACTGGGAATTGAGATGCTTGGTCCAAGTGCTGAGCTCTAGTATTTAGCTTTATAATATTGAATAAGTCATTTAATCTCTCTGAGTCTATTTCCTTATTTGTAAAACACTAAGGATCATTTCTATTTCATATGATTCTTGGGAAGATGAAGTAAGATAATGTGATTGACTGCTTTGTAAACTATATAAAATACTGAATTAATGATATTATTATCACCACCCCCAAACATTGTTTAGGATAGCTGAGAAGTAAGTCCCCAGAGGGGCATCAGAACTCATTGGGAGCAACTGAAGTATCTGTGGAATTATCAGTTTCTCAAAAGGTGGGATTTAAAGAATGCTAAAGGAGTCCTGGTGTAGTGCTATAGGTTAATGCACTAGACAGTAAGCACAGTTTGAACTGCAAGGTTGGCAGTTCAAATTCAACAGATGCTCCTCGGAAACCCTATATAGGGTTGCTATGAGTTGGAACTTACTCGATGGCACTTAACAATAACAATGGAATCCTGATGTGGTGCTGTGGGTTAATGCATTGGACTGCAAAGTCTGAACCAATTCGATGACACTCAGCAACAAAACAACAATGGAGAAAGATGAGTCTTTCTGCTCCCTCAAAGATTTCCAGTCTTGGAAACAGGGTTGCTGTGATTTGTAACTGACTTGATGGCACTTAATAACAACAGGTGTATTTGTAACCTTGGGATCTGCAAGTTTTCTGACACTTTTTAAAAGTTTATATTTTTTAAACGATGTAATTCTTAGAAAAAGTTAGACATATTTTGGATATTGATCGCCTTCTTATAATAGGGTGCCTCGTTGCCTGCAGTCTTTGTGTTTGTGTCTATAATTATGTTGATTTCAAGTGGTACTACTTGAATTGTTTGGGGCTAAAATGAGAAAAGAAAGGAAGAAAGCTTAATTCAAAATGATTCATTTGCTCCAAGTGGGTGAAGCAGTTGAAGATTTTGCAGTAGGTGAGATAATAGAAAAGTGAAAAGTGGAGGAGAGCCGTGTCTCCCTTGCACACTCTGGCTTGGGGATCCTGAACTCAGATGCATACCACAGCAGGCAGTGGGCTTCCCTGCTTGTGACTTAGAGACAGAAAG